GGGCGCGCGAGCTCCTGTGTCGGCTCGAGTCTGAGCACTGCCTCTCAAGCAGGCGCTCAAGCGCCTAGGTCTAGGAGAGAAGTAACGCTCTGCCGCTCGAGCGCCTGTACGTACTTCAGCTCGAGCAGCAAAGTCCAGTCAAACTGCTGTAGCTCTTTTGACCATTTATTTTCTTCACTCCTTCTGCATCTTTAACTGAGCGAAACATCAACATTCCCCTCCCTCTTCCCAAGCTATTTCTGAACCTCACAGGACTGCAGTTGGAATGGTACTTCTTGTCTCGTAATTGGGGCAAGCGTCTTCTCACGTACTCCCTAATTGCCTCTGAATTTGACTTTTCTTGTATTATCTCTTGGTAATAATTTGCTTTCTATTAGTCAAATATCAAATTAGTCCCCAATTAAATTTTCTTGTAACTTTTTACCCAACCTAGTGCTTCTTTCAGAATATCCTCACCGAAGGGACCATTGGTTGTGGTATCAACGTGGGGCTGCATTACATGAATTTGGTTGCAAATAATATGCACAACTGATCCATTAAGACCTCAATTTGTTCCACTTGAATGATATCTTCAAATCACAGAGCTCAAACCCCTAAACTAAACCCAAAACATGACTGAGCACAAAATCACCAAGCTCAAAACCATCAAATAGACTGAGCACAAAAACATAGAGCACAAAGATAGTTTCATACAACTTTTGAGTTCAAAATATTTTCACAAAGCAGACAACATAAGTGTATTCTAGATTGCAAAAACAGAGTGGGATTTTGATCCCACATTACTTTCAGCAGGTTGAGTCCCTCCATTTCTAGCCAAACCTCCTCTAATTGCCTACAATTCAGAGAAAACAAGAAAATCTGAATTAGTGAAGCAAGGAATTCAAAGTAATGAACCAAATCATAATAAAGAAAGCAGCCTTTCCCTATAGGGCTTAGCCTTTCTTAAGAGATTGCTGGGTTGAGCTGCTTGCAACTTCCCTTCCTCTCCCCGTTGAACTTCTTGCTCTTGCACTTCATCTTCCTGTTCCCATTGAACTGCGTTTTTCCACAGTCAGTTGAATTATGTCCTACTCCTCTCCACAACTCTGTGCAATGTATTATAATATACCATATCTAAGTTTATTTGCACCCTTTGGGATCTCATCTGTGACAATTGTATAGCCAATATTAATGTATCTTTGAGTCGGTGTCTTTTAAGGGTAGTGAGGTCTTTTACTTATCTAGGGCATCTTTATATACCTATATATTGTAAGCGTACAGCAGCTTTATTATCCTATTGATTTGTGAATATATTGGGATTCTCTGCTTCTGCTTGAATTGTTCACATGGTATCAGAGCGATCCTCTTGAGTTGCTGCTTGTTCTTGATAGGAATTAGGAGTTAGAGCCAAAACTGTAAAACAGTTTTGGATAGTTAGTTAGCCACGTGTCAAGTGTTAGTTGGGGAATCTGTTACAATTACTGTTGTATCCTTGAAGGTGGCTTTATTACCAATTTGGGGAGCCATTGTACGTATTGTTGAGAAATATACAGAAAACATTCTTTGGGTTCCCTCTGTTCTTGGTTAATGTCTAAGGTTGAAAGATAGAGTCCTATCACTTACTACATCCTTCCTTGGTTGAATTAAAAATTGTTCCGGATCTCTCGACGACTCTTAATTAAAATACACTAGCGAGCCATATATGTATACACACATATATAACGAGAGAGTGTGTAGCCTAACAGGGGAAACATGGCATCTAATAATAAGGAAAAGCAGATGCATCAAAAGATAGCCAATAGTCATTCGACACCGAAAGTGGTGTTGAGAGACCAATTCCTGTTAAACAAAATTCCTCTTTCTAGTACAATGTTGCTATTTGTACCATCTCAACCGATCATCTCTCTAATAGAGGCGAAGCCTTTTTATTTTATCTCACTTTTCCTAAAATCCTCTAAGTGAAAACTCGCCAGCTATATAGCGTTCCACTTCAAGGCTTCACTTCTCATCCTCTCTTCAACAATCTTATTAATTTCTCCTTCTACACCTTCAACAATGAAGCTTCCGCACCATCCTTCAACAACAATTTTCTCCTTCATCTTCATCTTCCTCTTACCCTCCTCAATCTCATCCCAAACCTGCCAAAGATCCTGTGGCAAACTCCCCCTCAAATTCCCATTTGGCAGTGACCTTGGCTGCGGCGACCCGCGCTTCCACCAGCACGTGTCATGCAGCCAAGGCAACCTCCTGCTCACAATGCACACAGGCTCCTACCCTGTCACCAACATAGACTACATCAACAAAGTCATGTACATCTCAGACCCCTCCATGTCAACATGTTCCTGCACCCAACCAAGCAAAGGCTTTGGCCTGGATTGGGACTCGCCCTTCTCTTTCCAAGATGACAACATCTTCGCCTTACTTGACTGCTCAACTTCTTCCTCCCCAATATTCCAATCAAGCACCCTATACACTGATAAAAACAACAACTCCAAAGTGTCCCTATGTGACAACCAAGGCACCTCAATTTGCAGCTTCTTATATTCTTGCAGGGCCATAAGCACAATCAACCTCCCAATCTCCACATGTTGTGTTTACACGCCTGTTGATCTCGGGCCGGCTTTCGAGATGGACTTGCAGAAACTGCATTGCAGTTCTTATTCTGGGTTTTACAGCTTCAACGAGCGCCAGTCTGACCCTAACAGTTGGAAGTATGGGATTGCGCTCAAATATAAATTCAGTGTGAATAATGAGTATCCAAGTTCATGTGCTAATTGTGAAATGAGCAATGGGATTTGTGGCTACTTTTCCGGCGGGGCTTACAATTCTTTTTTATGTAATTGTCCAAATGGGATAAACACCACCAATGATTGTTACTTTGGAGCCAATTATAATTATGGTTCGAGGCTCTCATCCTGGCAGATTGGTACGTATCAAACATGTATATCTTTGTATCTTTTTTCTTTTTGGGATTTTATGAGTCTATGTTTCTGAAATCCAGTTGTTTTTGTATGCTTCCAGGTACTTGGCTATTCTATTGCTTGGCTTGCCTGTTGATTTCAGTTTGGTAGATTTTGAAATTTGATAGGTTGGATTTGAAATCCATAAGAAATGCAAGAGTTGAGGTTTGACCTTCGTTTTAATAATATAAGTACGTTTGAGAATTTTCCGCAATGTTTGTAGGGCAAGTGTGTGGAAGTAATGAAATATTTTCCTTTCATGAGAATCAAGCAGAAGAGGATAACATGATGGTGTAGGTTTGTGGGTCGTCAGCTGATTTGTATTTAGCACAACTTTTAAGCCCACCACAGGGATTGACGTATTATAAAAACAAAAAGAAGAAGAAGAAGATTAGGGAATTGGGTTCCTTCTTCTTGCACTATGAGTACAGTCTATAACCACTAACAAAGAATCGGCTTTTGTTGTAGTAAAGGTTGTTTCTTTATCATCGCTTTATTGGCAAGCTCATAATCTCTCCACTATTCTATCTCCATATTGTTAGTTTAGAGATTCTAAAGAAGCAGAACAGTGGCTGAAGTAACTTGCGATACACTAAACAAAATTCCAAAGTCCTTGTTTCAATTAGGGATTTTTGTAGACATATCACATGAACTGATATCTCAGTTTCAATTTATCACCTTAAAGAAAAATGTCAAAATTCATGATTTGTCATATGACTTTAACACAATTTAATTTTCCATCCATTTTAAAAGGTATTTTATACATGTTTTTTTCTCTTGAAAATAGAAAAACTAAAACACCCTTAAAAATGGATGGAAAATTGGATGGTTGTTAAATTCAAATGACAAGTTGTGGATTTTGAAAAATTTAAGGTGACATTTCTCTTAAATTTTTCTTTAAGGTGACAAATTGAAACTGAAGTATAAGTTCGGGTGACATTTCGACAATTATCCCTTTCAATTAACTTCTTTTAAGTACCACAAAATTTCACTGGATTCAAATGTAGATGGCACAGTAGCACACTTACATGGCAATGCCAATGCATCAATATAAATTCGGTTAGCGCATAAAATCCATTATACTCAATAGTTAATGATGGTGCACTCACTCAAACCCACACCCCACACCCTGTTGTCACTAAGGCCATTCCCGATGAGGGCCTTAAATGGGACTATACCTTCTTAGGGCTAAAAAATATATGCTTAGGGCCCAAAAAGAATAAGAGGGCTAGCTGCCAATTTTCCTTACCAGGACGAACAAAAATAGGCTCAAAACTTAGCAGAATTGGTTGCCTTCTTTTTTTTGGACAAAAAATTGGTTACCTTCGAACATAACAAAACAATAGTCAATGAATTGTGCATATAATTCTCAAACTCAAATTGTTTAAAATTTAACAACAATAATGTGAAATAATTAAGTTTAAGATCCCATGTAGTTGATGGTCCATTGTGTATATATTATATATATATTATCAAAATGAATTAGAGGTCAAATATGTGAACTATATTTTAAAAATTAGAGGTCCGTATCTGAACATTTTCTAGGGCACGTAAATTGCAGATCATTTTTTGGGGCACGGAGAGGGCATGTCATGGTCATTCAGTAGAATCAATACTCTATAAATTGTGACCAGACTACCATTTCGGTACACCTGCTCATCATATATTTACTTTATCAAATTCAAACCCCAGCTGCTTCTAGTACACTAGCTATATCATGGAGCTATGGAAATGTATTGGTTTCGGCTTGATCCTCATGTTCGGGGCTTGGTCTTGTGAAGCCACCTCTCGCAGTCTCCAAGATGCATCTATGTATGGGAGATACGAGCAATGGATGACTCGTTATGGTCGCGTATATAACGATGTTAACGAGAAAGAGAATCGTTTCAAGATATTCAAAGAAAATGTGGCGTTTATAGAATCATCGAATAACGATGTGAACAAACCCTACAAGTTGGGTGTTAATCAATTTGCAGACCTTACGAATGAAGAGTTCAAAGCCTCAAGAAATGGATTCAAGGGGCATGAATGTTCCACAAAGACGACTTCTTTCAAATATGAAAATGTTAAGGCGCCAGTGCCAGCTGCAATGGACTGGAGAAAGAAAGGAGCTGTAACCCCCATCAAGGACCAAGGCCAATGTGGTAATTAATCGTCTAGGTTCATTATTATTAATCATTTATAGTAACACTATATACTCTTCTTTTGGAGTTTAGTAATATTTTTATGTTATTCTAACTACTATTAATTGCAATGAAAAAATAGGATGTTGTTGGGCTTTTTCGGCAGTGGCAGCGACCGAAGGCATTACTCAGCTTACAACTGGTAAACTGATCTCTTTGTCTGAGCAAGAGCTAGTTGACTGTGACACCAGCGGTGTAGACCAAGGTTGTGAGGGTGGCTTGATGGATGATGCCTTTCAGTTCATCCAACAAAACCATGGGCTTAGTACGGAAGCTAATTACCCCTACAATGGTGTTGATGGTTCATGCAATACCAAGAAAGCAGCAAGCATTGCAGCCAAGATAACTGGCTATGAAGATGTGCCTGCAAACAGCGAAAAAGCCCTTCTAACCGCTGTTGCTCATCAACCAGTTTCTGTTGCCATTGATGCTGGAGGTTCCGATTTCCAGTTCTATTCAAGTGGTGTCTTTACAGGATCCTGTGGAACGAGCCTTGACCATGGGGTTACCGCTGTTGGTTATGGCGTTAGTGATGATGGGACTAAGTATTGGTTGGTTAAAAACTCATGGGGGACAGAATGGGGTGAAGAGGGGTACATAAGGATGCAAAGAGATGTTGAAGCAAAAGAAGGTCTATGTGGCATTGCTATGGAAGCCTCTTACCCCACTGCTTAGCTTAAAATTAAACCAATGCCTACTATATGGTTTGTAAGTACTATAATATGTACTTGTATGTGTAAAATACTTTATAAGATATGTACTGTGGCTGTAAGAAAACTTAGCCATTTGTGAAAAGCTTTTTCAGTTTCTTTTTGTTGGATTATCAATCACCCATAAAGAGTGCGTCTTAGCCCCTTTTTTGGTTTTTACAATCACCCATAAAGAGGGATTGTCAGTAGCGGGACTCAAAGTCAAAAGAAATTTGCCAGAAAGAAACTAAGGAATTTGTGAAAACAGTGAAGAAACCACGCGCATTTTCGACGTGTGCTCTTTGGGTCTATCAGCACATAGTATGAAACCATTTATTTACTATTAATCTGACAGCAGGGTTCATATAAGAACTTTTACTGGGCGACAAAATAAGATTGCAGATATTGTTCAGGGACTCCGAGATAGTAAGGTCATCAAATCACTATTTAAACTGCACTTTGTTTCATTTACTTTACCAAACCCTAGCTTCTCCCAGTACTAGTTATACAATGGAGTTCATTAAGCAGTTGTGGAGATGTGTTTGTTTGGTCTTGATCCTTATGTTGGGGACTTGGTCTAGTGAAGCCACTTCTCGTAACCTCCAAGATGCATCAATGTACGGAAGAGATGAACAATGGATGGTTCGTTATGGACGTGAATACAATGATGTTAATGAGAAGCACAAGCGTTTTGAGATATTCAAGAAGAATGTGGCATACATAGAATCCTCTAATAGCGATGTAAACAAATCTTACAAATTAAGTGCTAATCAATTTGCAGACCAAACAAATGAAGAAGTGAAAGCCTCAAGAAATGGATTCAGAGGGCGTGAGCACTCCACAAAGACTACTTCTTTCAAATATGAAAATGTGACAGTAGTACCAGCTACTATGGATTGGAGAAGCAAAGGAGCTGTAACACCCATGAAGGACCAAGGCCAATGTGGTAAGCCTCTAATTTTTATTTATATGATGAAATTATTCTTCTTCCAGAATATTTTCAGTTGTTTTTGTTCTAGATACTGTTTAATTGCAACAAAACTTATATGTGTGGGAAGCTGTTGGGCTTTTGCAGCAGTGGCAACCGTTGAAGGAATTACACAGCTTACAACTGGTAAATTAATCTCTTTATCAGAGCAAGAGGTGGTTGATTGTGACACCAATGGCGAAGACCTAGGATGTGGCGGTGGTTGGCCCGACGGTGCCTTTGAGTTCATCAATCAAAACAATGGCCTTAGTTTCGAGGCTAGTTACAACTACACAAGTGTTGACGGTAGATGCAACACCCAAGCTACCCACACAACCAATATAACTGGCTACGAAGATGTGCCCGCAAGCAATGAGGAAGCCCTTCTTAAGGCTGTTGCTAACCAACCTGTTTCTGTTTGCATTAATGCTGGAGAAAACGATTTCCTATACTATACAAGTGGAGTCTTTGCAGGATCATGTGGACTAGAAATGGATCATTGTGTTACCGCAATTGGTTACGGCGTCAGTGACGATGGCACAAAGTATTGGTTGCTGAAAAACTCATGGGGCACGGATTGGGGTGAAGAAGGGTACATGAGGATGCAAAGAGATGTTTATGCAAAAGAAGGTCTATGTGGTGTAGCTATGCATGCGTCTTACCCCATCGCATAAATAAATTTACCATCAAAAAGTAATACAAATACCAAGATATACTAGGAGGTGCTATGATGTGTATCAGCTTGTAAGACTTCATAAACACATTGCATCCGTTTAGCTTTGTTCAGCTAGAGCAACTATGAAACTGATGCTCATTAGCAGACAATATATCACAGTGCTTTAAATATTTAGCCTTAAGAACTTTGGCCCAAAGACCTTGGTCATTATTCTAAAGAAATCTCCAACTGGATTTAGCTAATAACGCTTGATTCATACAAGCAGCCTTCTTTACTCCCAAACCACCAGCACACTTAGACTTACACACAGTTTCCCAATTCACAAGATGCACCTTTGCCTTAACAAAGGCATGCCCTAAAGAAAATTCTTATTTAACCGATCCACCTTGTTACAAACAGAAGCAGGCAACATAGCAGTTTGCATAGAATATATAGGAATAGCAGAGGTGACTTGTTTATACCAAAATGAACAGCCAATGAATATCGAACACGTGGCTAAACCAGGGCCAGGTGTGCCTTCGGCACCCCTCTTCGGTAACAAACCTACCGATCGCAACATTAGGGCAACCTCGCCCCCTCTGAAGCGTGGCAGCCTCACAACTGATGCCCAGAGTCCCACATCGAAACTCTAAACAAATTGCACACCTCCCAAGGCCTATAAAAGAGGACATCCATCCCAGCTTGAAGGTAAAAAATCAGAACTTACGGCATACTGCCTACTGATCTGTAGTTCAAACTTACTAAATCCGTACTTACAAAAGCATCGGAGAGCCTTCGGCCGGTACCACACCGGTGCCCTAGGATTTACCGTGTGTTTGCTATCTTACAGATCGCACACCCTATCGAGGACACCAGATACCGA